ATCATTGTTACATGAGGGAATTATATACCACTCAAGAAATTCAGCACGATTGTTAGATGGCAGATAACCTTTACAAACACACCATAAACACAAGCAGTCTGACTTTCCCACACAAACATCACTTACTCTGCTGCTAATGTGTTGTATATTCAGACATAATCAGAACTGCCTCGCTCAGCTAAACACAATTCTGAGCAAGCTACTTCAGTTGCCCATTGATTTAAAGGAGCTCTCTCAGCTGTGGAACAGGCACCACTCTTAACAAACTCTCCATTGTTTGTAATGCGGGATAGAAGCTGGAAAAATCCCATTGTCTTCTGATCTTTCCCTTCTCCATTAATTACAAGTAGGTTGGGAATTTTTAAGTGTCCATGGAAATTTTATCAACATGGCAAAGAGTCTACATTTCTCCATCAAAATCCCAGCAATGTCAACAGTCAAAGGGAAGCAGCAGCTCAGCGCACTGCAGAGTATCAGTACACACTCAGAATGGGGCAGTAAAAAGTACAAGTTTGCTTTCTAAAAAATGCAATTTCACCGAGATCTGAGTAAATGGTGAATTTGAACAAAGTGCTTTTTGCCAAAAGAAAATGAGGGGAGCAGACAGGGTTAACAAACAGCAGAGGCAGAAACAGATTTTTCAGAAAGAGTGAGACATTTTGTGCCAGTATTTTACAAATAAAAGGGTTTACTTTCGTTTTGCTTTAAAAGTGAGCTCCTCTTAATTGTTTTTAAGAGAAGAAAAAAAACGTCACAAATGAAATGTTTCATTCAAGTCAGAGCCCTCTTGGCAGAGGGAAAGGAAAAGAAAGGGTCATTCCATTGAGAAAAATAGAACACGTTTCATTCTGAAGCAAAAGAAATCATTTCTCCTCACCACGATATCTTTCAGTTCCATCACTTGAACAGCCCTTCTGAATAACTCTGTAACAAAATGATGCCAGGGACACCAAAACAGCAGGATTTTTTGTTCTTCCCTGGAAAAACACCTGATTAAAATCCACGTGGTTTTGTAGAACGCACAAGACCTTCCACACCAGATTAACCAAGTCTGGGTGTAGGACATCCTTTAACCTGTAACAAGTAAGCATCAATGATTTAACCATATTTCATAGCAGCTAGATATCATCACTTCAGATGAAACAAGAAATTAGCTAGTTCCACTGCAGTGGACACAAGTGTCCCTCATTAAACAGTTCACTAGCCCTGCTTCTTTTCAGCACCAGAGGAATTGCTTAACAGAGGCCATATGAAAGTAGAACATTATTCTATTTAATGCCAGTGAATGATCGTCACAGTACTACTGGGATCTGTTAAGTATTCTGACCCTGCTCTTAGTGGTACTGCTGCTCAGTGGCTCTGGCAATGACAAGGAGTCTGAGAAGTCCTCTCTTACACTGATGGTCTGACATGGTTCTGGGCACCTTACGGACCCTTGCAGAGACACAAACACAATCCCTGGTGCAGAAAGGTCCAAAAAGAGCTGTGAACCTGCTCTTTAAGAATCCCAAGTACAAAGATCCCAGCAATAGATGTGATTTCTGAAGCAAGGCCCTTTTATAGAATCTACTGCATGCTAAAATGAGTTGTTGAGCCTGAGGAACTTTAGTGCTGTTTAACAGGTTTAAGCCACTCCCAGCGGAGCACTGATGCAAACCAACTATGATTTGTGCTGAAAATGGAAAGTGAATTTCTCAAACATAAGCTCAAAATCCCTCTATATAATATAAAGTCCGCCATGCAAAGTGCTACCTGAACAGGAAGGCTATGGCTTACACTGAAATAAAAGTACTCCTTCAGTAACAGTATAGCGTTCAATGATTTCTCATACAAAGACTTCTCACCTCGGGAGCTGGCCTCAGTACTGACTCCTGAAATCAACATACGAGGAAGGTAATGGTAATTGGTACTTCAAAGAAATCTAAACGAGCAAGCAACACCTTCAGCAACGTTTGACAAAACTCACTCCAGCATTACTTAAAATCTTGTCTGTTTCAAAAAAGGTAACTGTATCTAACAGGTTTGGTCATGTTCTTTCTCCTGCAATCCACAACTAAGACACCAACACGAGGACACTAACAGCAAAGACTGAAGCTGTGTAATGAGAGGGAGCTTCAGTTCAAGCAAAAAATGACTCCTAACAATCATGCAACCCTGGAGATAAACTAGCTTTCACTGTTCAGTGTTTTCTCCATAGCAGTGTGATAGTTTGTAGGCCATTCAGAGCCACTGCAGATATCTTAGGCTACATCAAAACTGCTTTCTAGTTGTATGCTGGGTAGCAATATTAGCAACAACACTGTACTTCAGAAATCTGTGCTTTTTAAAGGTAAATGCCATGCTTCTCCCATCCCATGGTGCACACATTGTGGAAACACAAAGAACTAATGCCTACTGGGAAAAAAAAGTTCATCAAGTAGCACACAGAAGTTTCTAGACTCACAACAGGAACATCTGCTGAAACAACAACAAAAACAAGTAGTCAGGTTTTAAAAAATAGACTGTTGAAAATAAGATGCCACAGATGAGTAGCTCTCAGTTTAATCATTAAAATGAAACGTAGGACTTGAACTGTTGCAAGTGCCCTGTTTTAGTGTAGCAGACAAAATACAATTTTACAATAATTTCCAGGGAACAGTGGAGATTATAACACATCAGGCCACAATCCAGACAACCTCAACCAAACTTAAGGGGAATAATCAATGTTTATGTGCTCCCCTGTGTATATATTACATAGTGGAAGTCCTAAAGATCCATCTTCAACATTAGGAATAGGAGGGGTACAGAGAAGGCTCTACTATTGCTAACAAATACTGTATATAAAAGTTTGGGTCTACAGGGAAAAGTTTTGTTGTTTTTTTTTTTTCCATGATTTAGAGGCTGAATGACTCCAAGTAAGAGGATTCTTTTCCCTGATACCAGGCAAAAGTTTGGAATAAATTTTAAGCAGGTGCAGTATACCAACTTAAGTCAAAGCAAGGAAGCTAATAGCTCTATCACTGCACTTAAAGCCCAGGATTGCAGCTCCCAGCTTTGTTAACCTTCAAGTGCATCTCAGCCCAGGGAACAACAGCCATAGAGACCCCCAACAGCTGTAGCAATGCTGGCAAACACTTTTACTTCCAACTTCTACCACATCTGATTCTTACCAGCAAGGACTCTTCCCCCGATAAGAAAGTAAGACACCTTCCTAGCCAGCATAACAAAGAAAATTTCCTCTGTGACCTGAGGGAACAGTGGTATTTTCTCCAGACCTGATAATTTCTGCACAATTAAAAAATTCCTTAATAGCATTTATATTTCTAGGTCTGTGGCTTAAGAAAGAGAGAAAACTACTTCAGAAAAGTAGTTTTGTAGGCTTGAAATTCAGATTATGGTAAAATATCTGAGAGAAAATCACAGAAAGGGAATTGGAAAAGGCTTTAAAACCAACAACATCAGTATGCGCTCTCAGGAAAGCATTGTAGTTGCCTTCTCAGCACAGCTCAGAAATACTGCCAGCACCTCATCCCACCTCCAAAGCTGTCTCTGACCCCCAATATCCAAAACTTGCAAAGGAGGGAAAGATCCTTCCATCTGCAGAACAGTTGAGGACAGGCCAGCCAGTAGCCTACAGGCTGCTCTACCAGATCCTAAAGAAGTTCCCAAGAGCCACACTGACTGGGGACAGTAAGTGTAGCTGAAACCCTTGGGTTTCCTCCTTCCTCCAGTGAATCTGTCACAGGCCTCTTCAACGTAAGGTCTGAAGGTAAGAAGTGAAGCTTTCAAGTCATGCTTTGCCCAGCTGAGCAGAGAAACAAAACACTGAAGGAAACTGAAATTATACATATAAAAAATAAAACTTTACAGGAAATAGCTAATATTCTCACATGCTCTGTCACATAGAAATACTGAAAATCATGCAGGTAGGAGTTCATGTTGTACAATTATAATGGTTTTATAGAGACATACGTTTTCTTTCTGGATTCATTTCTGATGTGCTCCTTAGGACATTTTGTCCTAAGGATTTGTCATTTAATCTGTTGGGGTTTTTTTGCCACTACTCTACAGACCTTATATCCACATCAGAAGATTGCTTAAAAATTACACCCCCTCTGCTATTCTTGTAAGCAGCTGCCAAAATAAGAAGGTCCACGTATAGCCTCTGCCGGTAGTGGAGCAATTGATGACAAGGCAGAGAAAACACAGCAGAGCTTTGTAAAAATGAAAGCAGACCTATTAGGGAAGAGGAAAAACAGCTTTTTGTTAAAAAATGGCATCTAATCTGAAACAGTATTTTCTCTTTCCATTCTATACAACTGCACTATTAATCTTACATGTATAAGGTAAATGGACTATTTATGTCTGCACTGTGAAATGCAGCAAAGGAAACCACAGATTTGGATGTGTTAGACAAGCACTCTAGAGGCAGGATTAGAAATGTCAGAGGTAGGATCAGGTCTCCATAAGAAGTCATCCACACAAAGAACACCAAATAATTTAAACTCCACCTTTCAATCTAGAATACCTTACTGCGACTGATAATTACATAGAAAAGTTATTAAAACACACACATACTTAGGAAGATCATCTACCACCACCAAGTCACAGGAAATATTCTTAAAATGAGTCCTACACAAAAGCTGTGTCGTATTTCCTGCCTACCTTTACTATAGCAAGCAACAGGACCAGTTTCTGCAATCTAGTGAATGGGGTCAAAAGAAAGTAAAAGGGGAAAAGGAAGAAAAGTTTTGGTTCTCTTCAAAGCTTCATTAAGAGATACAAAACAAAATCCAGGAGCAAAAATTATAATTGACAAAATGGGAAAGAAAAACAAAATCAATAGAGGAGGAAGTTTTATTTTAAGCTTCAAAGAGAGTATTAAAAACAATGGAGAGCTTAGAAAAGTATCTGTACAAGTATGTTATTCAACAATGTCTTTTTAAAAGATTACTTGCACTAAAAAAGACCCTGTAGAATCGGTTTGATAATGTGATATTTACAGAGGAATATACAGTAGGGGCATTGAAAGCAGAACTTTTATTTGAAAGGAATATTACACAAACAGAATACAGACCCTATAGTTTGCAAATCTTCATTATGGTTGTGCGTTTCATTATATTTTGATTAAATAAAATCTGATTTCTTCTTTTTCTCTAGCGGCAGCTCACCAATGCAAGCGTAGAAACAACAAAATTATCAAAGCAAACCCACCCTGGTAAAGAACCTGATTATGACATAAATTTTGTCATTCAACTTAGTGAGAGCAGAACTCAGGTCTACCAGAGATTTAATATGGCTATTTTTGGCCCTATGTGTCAATCCAAAGGGAGCGGGAGAAGGGGGAGGGAACACTGCGACGGACACCAGGAAACCTCTCAAAGAGGTGAGTTTAAGTTTTAGGTGTGCAAGAAATATGATGCAGCATGAGACCTTCTGTCAGCTTCCCCTACACAGGATGCATTTTCGTAGACAATCTTTTCACTCAAAAAAACCAACATAAGTCACATTAGCAAAACACTTTATTATCTATACACTGGGTCTATACCAATAGATACATCTGACTACAGAGGACAGCTAATCTCAGAGCCAAGTCCAATGCCCTTCTAATACACAAGGCTCGCATCCTTGCTAGCCTGCATCACACATGACAACAAACTATCCACTGTGAGCAGATTTGGGAACCAACAAAATTTTCCAGTGCTTGCGTGAAGCAGAACTCATTTCATTGAGAAGATGGCTAACAACCCAGAATGAAGGCTGTGAACGTCCCTCACCGGACAATTTAGGATTGCAGCCTGTGGGAACTCAAATTCTTCTCCTGCTGAGTATCCTCTGTTGCTTACTGCTGACATGGGGGTGTACCTCTATACTTTTCAAAGTCCATTATTTCATAAAAAAGGGCAAATATACAGGTTTTCTACATAGGGCAACATCTTTGACTCCGGAAGGAAGCTACATGCCAAGAGCATCCAAACAGAATACTTTCCTTACAACCAACTCACAATCAGCTGAGGAATTACCAAAGGAAAAAAATGAAAGAAAGAAAAAAAGAATAATAGTAATGAGAAGAAACAAAACAAAACAAAAAACAACCTAATAGTTGCTTTCCTTTCTTTAAATCTCTCTTTTAGCAGAAGCATTTCACAGAGTTGCTCAAATGAAAACCTGTTTTACTGTGCAGAAGAGACACATCAATCCTACGGGGAGAAGACAGTCCTTTGAATTGGACACAACATCTGGTAACAAAAAAATCCAGGCACTGAGCCTGGTCTTTGCTCTTTCAGCAGTTTTTGTTCAGATTTGTGCCTAACACAAGAAAAGCAAAGTAAGATTTAAGCATCTAACAGGATAATATTATTCAGAAGAAAGAAAACCAGAACAGTCTGCACTTACCACATCCAATTTGCAAAAAACAAAGATACCCAGCACATGTATGAATGGCTTCTTTAAAGTAAGAGAGAGAGCAGAGTTGATCTTTATTTTCATTATTTAAAAAAGCTTTTTTTTTCTTAAAGTAAATATTCAGTCTTTATTTTACATTAAGTGCTTTTTTAAAATTCCATGTCTTCACAAAATTGCATTTAAAATTTGAAGTAAAACGTATTTCAAACAAAAATACTGTGCAACTTCAGCACTCCTTTTCTCTCTTAAATATTGAAATAAATAAAATAGTTAAGTCTTTTTTCAGTTTGTTTTTCAGTCAGTTCTACTGTAGATCAATTCCAGTTTGACCTGGGTTTATACACATGCTTAAAAGAAAGTGAAATCAAGGCTTTAAAAAAAATTCTTTGTATTGCACCGGCTTAGGGCATCCCCAGAATTTCTCTGAACAGTTGGTAGCCAGCTTCCCACAGTCCAGGCTCCTGTGCCAGATGAAACACAGGGACAGAAGGGTCAGGGCAAGGAGAAGTTATCAGAAGTATCAAAGCATCCTGGCTTCTCTCGACCTTCTTCTGAAATGTCTTGCTTGAAGGATGCCAGAGTCCACGAGGGCAGGGCTGACTGCAGAGGGAAAGGCAATAAAAAGTAAAACTAAACAAACACAAATAGACAACAAAAGCAAGTGTTCAGAATAAAGCAAAAAAAGCACAAGTCAACCTTTCAACACTGTTTGCATTCTAGTTCTTTGAAAACATAGCTCGACAAATTCAGTTTCAACTGACGGTGGGAGCCATAAGTAAATACAAAGCAGACAAAAGAGATATGATGGAGCATATCCAAAAGAAAGACACCAAAGGCTGTCAATTTTTCTTACTGTGAACATAATTAAATCACCTTCTTCATTCAGGTTATATAGCTCTCTTCTCTAGAGGCTACGATTTTGTTTATGAAATCCCGCTCTGATTACATCGCTATATTACTAATTAGTTGTACAGAGCCACAAGCACATGCAATACAGCACAAAAGAAGTTTTCAGAAGTCTGAACCATGCAGATAGCAATATGATAACCTCAGAAAATAAGTGAAAAACTGCATTTTGCATTTTCATTTAATCTATGAATGGACTAAGTTGTATATCCCAGGCTCCTGAGCTTAAAATGTACATCTGTTTATTTCTACAAAAAGGAGTGCCTTCCCCTCACACCTTTCTCACACCTCATACCAGTTCTGGATGACATGATTCTGTGATTCTATGACATGAATATCCAAAATCTTAGGAACTGACAATGACAGAACAATTCAAAGATACAAACTGCCTGTATCCTCTTAACAGGGGTATCAGAACTTGTAACTACAACATTAGCTTCTTTTTCCCCCCTTTAGACGTTATTATAACTTGCAACTTTAAACTTGTGGAAATATAACAGGAACACTAAAATGGTTTGAACCTAGCTTCATTACCCTATGGTATTTATACAGGTTGGGCTTTTTCAGCCCTGGTAAATAACTGGCAAACAGAACAAAGATTGGGTAGAGTATATTGCAATGGCTCAATCAGCAAAAATTAATCCTGGCTTCACTCCTACACTGCAAGGGTTTGTCAAAACAACCCCATGCCAGCATGAACACATGTATATCCCTCATCCTTTACATGTAACTCATAGAGACCCTTTTTAAATAAATAAGAAAAAAAAATTGAGAAAAAGAAATGAGCGTTTATTGGAAACATCTACATATGCTGCAGCACAAAACACGCTGGGAAGATTCTGCAGATTATACAATAAAACAACTCCCAGTAGGGTCAGCACAATGTTTGCTTGAGGAGTAGATTCAGTAAAACTGCTTGCCATGTGAGAGGTAAATTGCATGAGGATTCAGGTTTTGAAAGCTCCACGGTTTGATGGCATTTGAATAATAATTTTAGGACCTGTCTCAAAACATCACAAAAAGAATTAACCAAAGACAGGCAAAGCAGCCAGGAGAGAATGCAGCCGGGACTCAGCCATTCTCTGGGAGCATTTCTGGTTGCTCCATGCAAACCAATGTTCTGTCTTTAATCAAGAGCCTGAGCTGAGGACTGTAAAATGGCAAACTGGAACTCCAAATGAATAACTAATGTAAAAGCTTAAAGGCAAAACAATGTGGGGATGGGATTCTAATAACACATTCTATTGAAACAAATGGCCATCTCAGGGCTTGTCTACACCACACCACAGTTAAGTGTATTTGTGAGGAGGTTTCATTCAATAAAAGCAATAGTTAAGAAAGCTCAGTGCTAATTCTTCTGAAGCCACTGGCAAATTTCTCTTTGGACCCTGTTTCAGCAGCCCAGGCAAACATACAGGTTGTCATTCATGACCTTATCACATGTGCATTGCTATTCCAAGCATACTACGTATACAAGGAATACACATTCAACCCACAAGCCACAAACCTGGAGGGAAGAGGTGCAAAGTGAAGTAAAACAGATTTCAGCTCCATCCTACTCTGCTATATGCCTCACAATCTCCCTTTATTTCACGTCATTTTTGTAAAATTTGTCATATTTTCTTAAATTTTTTTCACTAAATACTACCATGTTTAAATTTTGAAGTGTTTTCATGCAAGAGATGAGGTCTGCCCCTTCTTACACATCCTCTAAGTGCCATAGAAGGAAATACGTTAGAGACCAATGCACACTCCATATAGCCTTTGTTCTCACTACGCAGCTGCTCAAGCAGCACGTCACTTCCTTATTTCCACACTCTCCCATCTATGAATCAGTTTGCAGAGAATGGCTCAGGAAATTCTGAGGCTTTTCTAAGATCCTTTAGTAGTAGAAAGGGGCCGGAGAAGATAGCTAATACAATTAAATAAACAGAAACGTCTGAATTTAGGACCTGAGATAAAACATTCTTTCATTCACATTTCGTATCGGAACAGTTTTATTTTGGTACATGATTTGTGTGGAAGAATATATGTTTCAGGAGAATCTCTGGATAGACTTGGCTAACCTTTCTCTAATAAGGATGTCTTTGGAGGAGGACTGGAAGAGCAAGGCTTGTGATTAGTTGAAGGACTGTGCCTTCAAAGATCACCTTCTTATAAAGCTCAGAACAGCAGGTTTCATTGAACTGCTGAAATCACTGGGGAATACAGAGCATCACGGTTCTTTCTGATTTCAAAGATGACTTTACTTTTCAGGTACAACCCAGAATTCACACTGAAAACTCTTTTTATGCCTTCCTAGTTTGGTTTGGGACTTATGTGTCTTTGAGGATACATACAATTGGCACTGTGCAGTTCTCTAATTTCTGACCTGGCTATGCTGGTCAGGTTCCACTGCTCTGCCTGCTCAACTAAACAGTGAGATGTAGATTTTATTCCTCAGGTTGATTATCTCCATCTAATAAAGACATCCTGAGCAATTTGAAGACTACTCTGCTCTCCATAACACAGAATCTATTTTACCTTCTTTCCTTCCTCAGGACTAGTTGGAACTAGTGACCATTCATATACACATAAATGGTATAAATTTATAAACAGCGATGGGTGTTTTTTATATGCAGTCATCTGTAATAAATGTCAGCTGGCAGTCTCTGTGCACTATGTGAGTTGTGGCTTTTTTCTCAGGGCACTGCACTACCCAGTTGTCACAAAAATGGGTGGTTAGGTTGCGAAAGGATTGAGACTGTATGCATTGTTATAGTAACTGCATTTGTGAAACTAAACCAAGATTTAATAAATTATGGGCATCTGATTATTGTTTGTATTCCAGAAAAGCCCAGAATGTGTTAGGCATGGTTCACAAAAGACAATGGTAAGGACTCCATTTGGAAAAAAATGTAGTTAGAGTACGCTTATTTTGCAGTTAATAAAGTGACTGGAGTTTTGAGAATGACATACCTGGATAGCTTTCAGCTAGCTAGCTCAGGTTCTACTAGGACACAGGTCAGTACAGAGCTCAGCATGGGCTGCAAGAACATGCACCAAGCTGGGTGACTAGAGCTACCTGCTGTAAACTTTAACTACTGTCATCACTGCACCAGCAGCCGCATACAGCTGGCTGGTTCCAGCTATGCTGGAATGGATGGATGCTAGGTAAAGCATCCATCTCTCAGACAGCCAAAGGCAGCTAGAATGAACAAAACTCTTTTCCTATCCTTCTCCATGACTGACACGGACACAAGAAGTAGATACAAAATGGATGCAAGAAATCATGCTGCTCTTTGGCTCTGAATATGGCACATTTCTGCTCCCTGTTGTTCACATGGCCGTATCACAGAGCAGCAGAAGAAAAAGCTGTATTTTAAAATGAGAGAACGTAATCCTAATACCATAAATGTAAGTGCAGGGATTGAAGGGCTGGAGAAACAGAAACATCAATTTGAAGTTCATTTTTTTAATCTAAAAGATTTTTCATGTTTTTGGTATTTCCTTCCAAACTGGGAACAACTGTACCTGCAGGCCAGATTCTGCTATGAGTTTTATGAACATGCATGCAGTGGAAATGCACTGGACTTCACTGATATTTTACAGTAAAGTCAGTATGGAACAAGTGAGCCTACGCCAGACTCATAGACTCATAATTAGGGAGTGTCTTCTATCTTTACTGTCATTACTCTTCATTTTATTGTCTGTATTGTCCATATATATGTCTATGCACACATATTTCTGGTCTATATTTACCTATACAAACTCTCAGGATGATACAGTAGTGCAAGCAAAATCCTATTGCTTTCTGGGATTTTGGAAGAGCAGATGCCTATATGCCTGTGCCTCACCTCTGGAAAAAAAACCTGAAGTTTTTGCTTTTAGTGAATGCAGAAGAGTGGCAAAATACTATAAATTTATCTGACATGTTCTTTCAGAGAGGAAAAAAAAAAAAGACTAGTTTTGGAATGAATTAAATCAATTAAAGTATACTTCTCCATGCCAGTGTTAAGTCAAAATACCATTGTTTGGACACTTGGATGATTATAACACACCAGCAGGAACAGAATAGCAACAGGAAAAGATTGTAAATATGGGAAAAAGCTCAAACAAGGTTCCTTCCTCACAAGAGTGCGTGGCTCTTTCACTCTGTGTTTCTATGCTAGAAACACATAGAGCTATTTTGCAACATTTCGTAACACATCTAATTCTGAGGGTAGTATATTAATGTAATCTAAACATAAGTAACACCATTCTGGATTTACATCCAGGTACATCCATGTACCCCTAACAGAAGAATCTTGCCACTGCTTATTTCATGCCTAAAGTCAACCAGAAAAACAAAAAAAAAAAGACCTCTGTAAGCAGCATGAGTGGATCCTTTCACTCTTTCTTTCTTTTAAGGTTTATGGGAAAAAAAAAAGGCTGAAAGAGCCCTCACAGATAGTACTGTGACAACCCATCAAAAGAAGCAAGAGAAATGGAATCCATCTGGACAGGCTTCATTCATGCACTAGAACAATATATATCCCAAGTCTTTATTACAAGGCTGACATTTTAATTCTGGCATCACACACACACAGTTGAAGGACTAGGCACTGCCCAAATAAATTTCTATTTTATCTCTGATTTGTTTCTACAACAAAGATCAGTCAAGGGTCTCTTGAAAATCCAGAGAACAGTGATTTCACAATCAGTGAAAGATATTTCAGCCAGGACATACCTTTCAAATCCTGCTGCATGTTTCCTCCTTTCTGGGATAGTCGCTGGGAAGGGAGTCACTCTCTTCTCCATTGCCCTTGGAACTTTAATGAGTATTGCTTTGGTTTATTTCAAGAGAAGCTATTGCAAAGCAAACAAAGTGTCTCACAAGACACTACAGAGAGAAAAATCTGGGCAACACAGAAAAAATGCTGCGAAGTAAAATTTAAAAATGGAAAGAAAAGTATAGGTGAGGTATATTTCCATATAATTTCTTCCATGATTCTGCTGCTCCATCTGTTTTGTCTTTGATGTCTACGACTTGCAATTTATATTCCATCCCTACGCTTGGAAATTTCTATCCATGAAGTGAAGGTTAAAAAAAGAAAAAGAAAAAAAAAACGTAGAACTGAGCGAGGAAGAGCTGAAGGGGTGCAGGTAGGAAGAGATCTATTGTAAAGGTGTCCAAAGGAGAGATGGAAATGTGTTCCCCAAGGTCATGGTCTTCAATGGAGCTGCTTGTGTCTTCAAGCTGTTAAATACAAGTGCAGCAGGTGTACAAGAAGAGCCAAATTCCACAATAAGTGCAAAATCTCAAATGCAGAAGCCATCACACCAAGGGTTTCCTTGTCCTCCAAGGAATTTCATCCACAGTGGTTCTCTAGAAACAGTTCTATCATCAAGTAGACATCCATTGCTTTTTTTTTTTTTTTTTTTTTTTTGCTTTTTTTTTTTTTTTTGCTTTTTTATTTAAAAAGTAACTTTTTCTAATAATATATAGATTATATAAATAATAATAATTAAAAAAAACTATTTGGGTTTGCTTTCATGTTCTCCAACCCATCTCTATTTTATGTGGTTTGCCAATATATATATTAAAAGAGAAGAAAATCAACTCTGCTCACTATTTAAAAAAATATTAAATCCACCTTTTATGTTTCCAGAGAGAAAGAGAAGGGCAGGAGGTGGGAGAAGAACAAATTAAAATGAAAAGGAAAAAAAAAAAACCAAAAAAAAAACCAGGAAAATCAAAACCTTCTGTCTCTTCAAAATGGTTGTCAAGAACTTTAAATGCTTGTGCTTTCAGTGTACACCCCACAGGAAAAAACAAAAACAACATCAACAATAACAAAAAAAAAAAAAAAAAAAAAAAAAAAAAAAACCAACACCCAAGGACCTAAAATTAAAAAAAGAAAAAGATAATAATAATTCTAGTAGTAAAACGGACAGCAAATTGCTCAGAGTTTGTGTCTTTTTAGTTAATTTAGCAGCTGCCCTTTTTGTCTGCAGAGGGAGAGCTGCCACCACAGCCACCTCCTCGGCTCGAGAGAGGCTCTTCTGCATCATCCTCGTCAAAGCCATGAAAGGTCGAGGTGTCGCTTTCTGACGTGGAACCGAACAAGTCCTCCGTAGTGCGTGTTGGCGCTGCTTCGTCCCTCCTGCCTTCTCTTCCCAAATGAGCTGACATGTATGATGAATATATCAGCACATGGGTTAAGCAACAGGCATCATCATCATCATTTTTAAGTATCATTACTATTAAACAATACAGACTATCAAGCTTATAGGTGTGTGTTTGTACGTGCCCGTGTACCTCAACAATATGCCTTGGTAGAACCGCAGTGAGAAAAATAAACAAGGATCAGTTTCTCTTACAAAGAAAAAAAATCTACCATTAACACAGGTGCCCATAGCCATGGCAGCGAAAGGGTTAATCATATTTTCCTCTCTTCAAAAACATTAAAATATTTTCTCGTGATTACTTAGATCAATTTTAAGAGATATTTAGCACATAGAAGTAATTAGACACCATTAGCTCTAAGCACAATGACCGTCCTTCAGACCGGCATCACCTTTTACAACTTTACTGCTATTGAAATGTGACCCATTAGACATCTCATCAGCCTCAAGACTTTTATCCCTGCCCGTCACCTGATCCCAAAGAGCCTCCTCTATAGACAAAATGACATACGTTTTGAAGACTAAGCAAAAGTAAGCTAAATAAATACTTCTATTCTGATTTCATGGTATCTCCTTCAACGATACCTCCACCACCCCCAACAACAACAATTCAACAATTAAATCACCTAAGAAGAGATCTGTCATGGGAAATACTGAAAAGTGCAAGAGTATGTTAATCCAACTTTCAATATGGAACAGGTAATTCTCCACACAGAACATGAACAGCCATAACAACAATAGCAACCAAAAGAACTGTTGAAAACAGAAGTCAGATACTGAAATCTCTGACAGTACGGTTTATTTTCTACCTCACTCAAACACGTTACGTGATTAATAGAAATAGCGTTCAGAATCTCTCTCTAAAAATGACAGAGAAAAAGATGTCTCTCGTGCCTCAGCAAATGAATGTCGGTTTGTAGGGGACAGCCGTTTTTTAACTCAGAAACACTAACATAACATTAAGTAACCAACTATTTGGTCTTCACTCCAGCTACAGGAATCAGCCATATAACTGCATGGTTAAGTAAACCGCTTTGCTTGAGAAACGAAGAATTAAATCCTGTTCACAGAACGAAAGTGGATATAACAAAATAATTGGCAGATGAACCACCTTACAGAGATGTGATTTTAGTGGCTTTAAGAAGGGAAGAAACAAGATGATTTCCACGACCTCTCTTTCAGTATAATGAAAATGTTCCCCATTATCAAGAAAGAGGAAGATGGACACCAAAGACTTTTCATTGTTTTAGTTTACAGATTAGTGTGTGGTTGTACCTTAATCACTTCCATCACACATCAGTCACATCATTGCAGAGCCTTATGAATGACCCAGGGTGGGTCAGAATTTGTACAAGGATAGCATTTAATGGAACTGATTTTGCACAATTTAGGTTACATGCGGATCTACTTGTTCCACCACGCTAAGCCATCAAGGAAATTAATGTATTTCTGGTTCATCCTGATATAATCACCATAGCAATGTTTAAGTAGAAAAAAGTATGGATCTGTCTCACTGTGCAGTCTCAGGACAATGCTGAAATAAGTTATATTGAACTACAGCAGTCAAGGGGAAGGGAAATGATCTTCCAAGTTGGCACCACAGACCGCAAGAGCTTTTCCCTTTAAGTATTAAGAAGCAAACGCGTATCACTAAAAGGTCCATGTTACTGTTTGTGCAGCATTCTTTGGGAAGCCTCTGGAGAAAACCAAAGGGTTCACCACTGGTCCCCTGGTGACCAGTCAGTATCACTTCAGAAGATCTTCAGAGGTCACAACAACTGCAGAAGGCAATTTGCCAGTGAGAGTCTAATCCTGCTCCCACTGAATTTGACTAGAGGCTTACTATGAATTGCAGTGGGAGTATGAGCAGGCCATTCGTTCAGTACAAGAACACTTCACTTTGCACTTCAGCCATCACACAACAAACATCTTTCAGTGACCATAGCACAGAAGTAGCAACAATACTGAATTTCAAGATCTCTTTTGTTTCCACGTTTACATTTGAAATTCTTATCATCATTAGTATCACCACTGCCCAGAAATAACAGAACTGAAAACTTGGGCCTAAGTTGGAACATGCAGTTATTAAAGGTCTTCCATTTCCTCTACCATTGCCACCACCTCTCACATGAGCTATAAATAACTGTTCAGCTGGGATAAAATTAAAAAAAAAAAGAAAAAGAGAGAAAAAAAAAGGAAAAAAAAAAAGAAAGGAAGGAAGAAAACAGCAGTCCAGAAATAAAGACAATCCAGAATGGGAAAGACACAATTGCTTACATTTAAAAAGAGCGAAGGGAAGAAAATGGAGAAATAAAAATGTCTTTAAACAAAATTAATGATAGTCATCTTGTAAGAGGATAATTCTTGACAGCTACCCCCATCCCTACCCTGTAATTTCCTCCCTCTTTTTTTTTGGATGAAAAAAATGCATGAAATGTGTAATCAATGGAAATGCTTGTCATGCAACTTTCATAAATCTTGTAAGTAATTTATAGTTGCAATTGCAGCACTTAAGACAGAGCCCATTCTTTAACATTGTTTTAGGGTCTTCTTCTTCTGTTAAAGGAACAACTAGTACATGTACCGAAGTTTGTAGAAGTCAATAAATACATTAAAATTGTATTATTTCATAAGATCTCATTAGCTTAAAATTGTTTTTATGACAGAAAATTTCCCAATCATCCTTTTCCACAAACACAGACAAGAGGTAAGACCTTGTCTTCTATTCCCTCCCAAATCTGCTGGCTTTCTTCAAAATCTTCAGGAGCAAAAAACAAAATACAAATACACTTTTATATAAGAAAGCTGCAAGAAGAAGTCACCTACCAGAGCGCCCACAGTCTGAGCACGACACAAGTTCCTCAGGCCGGCCACTTTTTTTGTTCATATTGGAGCCTCCAAGGCAGAAGTCACAGTAGTTATTGGGTATGATGACCCCATCTGGTCCTTTCTGGGCTGCAGTCAGGTTAGAAATCAGATTTACTTAAAGAGCATTCAGTTTGGATATTTCCCCCTTTTCTTAGCTACGATGTTAAATTGTTGAGTTTGCAGGCCACGCAAAACACTGTCAGTTAGAACAAAAAGTGAATTCTGTGAATCAGAAAATCAAAAGTGAATCACCTCCATCTCAGGTACACCGACCGTATGCTTTAGCTATTTTGTTTGCAATGCACTTCACCAGTTCCTTTACAATGCAGCTGGTCTGGTCCCTCATCAGGACCTGCTGCCAGACATCCCTGAACAGTTGAGGGAATTCATAATACACACAAGTATGTAAACAATCCCTAGTGCAGAATCAGACCTGAGCTGTCAGTAAGCCAAGCCTGGTTTTTCAGACAGCAGCCATAAACGTAAACACGCAAAGTACAATTGCAGAAGGGAAAAGCACATTCCCCAAAACTCCAAAACCTACAGCATAGAAACCTAACTGCTTTTATTTCTAAAGTTTTCTTTTTGAAGATATTACATCTCAAAGTTGTAGAGTCTTCTCATTCAAAAAGTTAGTTCAAATGCTGATAACTCTTTACAGTCGCAGTCACTTCAGGGTGATGGACCCAGGATCACACTACTTGCAGTAGACTGTGCATGCCCAAGAGATGAAGGCAAGGCAGCAAGTCTGGCCCAAGTGAGCATCCAGCACAGGTGCAAAGAGTTGGCCAAGGGTGGAAATCTAAGCTGCTGAGATAAAAACTTCAGCCAAGAAAAAAAGAAGGGAATTTGAGTTGTTAATTTCCAGCTAGGGATAGCTGTAGAGGAGAAAACACACAGTGGATCTTAGGTAGAAGGGAAGTCTGTTCCCCTAGAAAGAAGAGATAGGCAGATGTATTTAGTATTCTCAGGTTGAGCAAAAAAACATCACTGCTTTTTTTTCTTCTTCATAGCTGCCATTTTCCTCCTTTACTCTCCAGAGAGAGAAAACTTCCTGTTTCTGCCTAACCAGGAGCTTGGAAAGGTTTAGAGGAGCGGGAGGAATGGTCAGCATGGTCGATGTTTTTTCTTTTTTTAACTTAAAAAAAGGTAGATATACTTCTAGCAGTATATCTGACCTGACTCTACTCCATGTAGATTGCTACAAACCAGAAAAAAATTAAGACCTTTAAAACTGTGCCATCTATATTTAATTATCTTTCTAATGCATATTTTGTAACTTGCAGATTTTTAACAGATGTTTTGACAGCCTTTATTGATGGTCTTTTTGTCCACATTCAAATTTCCCCTGAAGAACAATGACATTTTAAAGGGCTTCTGGTAGCACTCCAAGACACACACTTAAAATTAAATTTTTCTCAGAGTTCAATCGGTTGTTGGATTGGGTGCATCTATTTATTCATTCACTTCCAGCTGTTGATTATCTGAGCTTTTTTGGAAATTGGCAGCTGAAAGACTGCAAGTAAGGTGAAAATAAGAAAAAAAATTAAAAAACATAACACTACAAATACGCCATTATCTTCCCACACAATCACCAAGTTCCTGATGTATTTACGAAACAATGGGTTTTACTCTGATATGGTGCTGTTAAGATCTTCAGTTCTCCCAAGAACAGACATAAACTCCCACTCTTTGGTTAGCATTTTGCCATTTAGCAGAGAGGCATTTAAGACTGTGTGCAAGATAAGCAAAAAAGAACAGCAACCAGGTGGAAGCCTAGCACATCGATTCATTTTAAGAGCTGTAACAAAATGGTCATAAAGTTGCTGTTTGTACTCTTTTTTCTTTCTCTTTTTTTTTTTTTCCTTTTTTTTTTTTTTTTTTTGTTGTTGTTGTTGTTGTTTAAATAGCAGATCTCCCTAACATCTAACATTCATTTTTCCCACAGCAGCCCCATTCTGTGAAAGTTAAGTAATTATTTATATTTTGCTCCATCTACAGAGTGGTTATACACAACACAAACTCAGTAAGCCCAGCATTCAGTGATTTTTTTGTTCCTTATTACCTCACTTCTCATGTGAATTCCTTAAAGTGCCTTACAGATACTAAGAAACCAATATTAACCCTCAGTGAAGTCAGAAGTTTTCTTTTTTCTGGGCCCTAATTAAACTTCATGGTGAAGAGGCACCGCTGGATTTTCAGCTGGAAAGCCTGGTAGTAAAGTGATTAACCAGCTTCCTCAAAAACACACAAGAATTCTGTGATGAGGCCACAAATAAAAATAATCATCAAAGGTGTCTGCCAGCACCATAATAAGGAAAGAGCTCTAGTATCATGGTGCAGAATCATATAATTGATTTAACACTCAACATATGCTGACTTAAATTTTTCCAGTGCATCTCATGAGCTTAAGATCTACCAACAGTCGATCTGGAAATAGGACAGGGAATCTCATGAAAATATGTGCACTGATCAATTTGTCTATGGTGCATTGCACAGACGGATGCCTGTTTTGATATTGAGGAGGTTCTTCTAGACTGTAGTCTGTGTCTAGGTGCTCATTTGTTGCTTGTCACTCACAAATATGGACACCATATATGAAAAGCTGTACACAGATTAGAAGTTCTGAAGTTACACCAATGTCGTCTGAACCAATGCATCTTCACAGCCAAATCATTCAGTACGGGCAATGTTAGCCTCTCCAATGCTTTTCCATTCTAACAGGTGCAACAACTGGAATGAAACTTAAGTCAAGCTTCATCAGTACTGTTCAGTGAATTAAGCCCCAGGCTAAAGCACAGAAGGGTTGAGAATGAAGAGCCTTACAGATGACAGTAAGAAAGCAGAATTCTTACTTTCAACTGCTGGCTTTTTTTTTCCCCTGGTTTTGCGTGTGTGTGTGTTTATGTATGTGTGCATGTCCTTGCAGTTTTAAGTTCTATTTTACAAATGAAGAAATTAAGAAACAAAGCAAAGATAGAAAAATAAAATGTGCAATATTCATGAGAAGCATATCATACACAAGAAGTTCAGCCCTAATTCCACCCCTTAATCAATAAAACTACTCACAAAATAAGTAAGGGAATGGATGCATAAGTGAAAGCAATTAAATTACTGGAGACTAATGTGTTGCTACTTTTCATTTGAGACATTGTAATTAACTAGGAATACACTTTTCTCACACATTAATCACAAAGTAGAACGTATTAGCTTAAGCCACATGATGGCTCAGCTAATGAGAAGTAACTCACCTAGGTGTGCTAGCTCAATCATTTTGATTGTGCCACTATAACCAAGGATTTTGTCTAAAAATGCTCACACAGATTCAGAAACCGTTTTAAAGTAAAGCTTTGAAAAACAGCCATGGTTTTGTCCTAACTTACAGAAAACTCTTCTGATTTTCTTTCACATTACAAACTGCAAAAACAGATCAAAAGCTTCATGGAGCTTTGAGGAGTACTGCCTGAGCTAAGGTGTTCTCGTAGGGGGGTATACTTAAATCAGTACCTCTTGCCATTCCAACTTGGTCTCACTTTCTTGTTTCATCAAAGGCCCTGTCTTTATCTACATCTGCTCTCAAATAAGGAGTATACTGCTTTTTAAAACACTTTTTAAAAATGCATTAAGGAAGATCTGCACAGGTCAGATGATGGTTTCACTGTACCTGAAAGCTGATTCAAGTGAAGACAGGAGTCTGAAAATGAAGCCTGCATTTCCAAATAACTTTGGAATGCTTTTACACTGAAATACATTTCTTCATCCTGGCCTAATCAAATGAATTTCAAAGTATGTCATGCAAAGCTGAATAAATTTCTTATTAAAATATAGTAACATTATTCACAGGAGTCCTCCTATAAAACAGGTACCGTAAATTGATTCTATAGTATATCACACAGTAACTTTTGCTCTGTAGACAAAACATGAAGAGCTAAACAAATTGACTGAATTTAAACATTTAAGATCATAAAATGGCTTAGGTTGGAGAGCACCTTAAAGATCATTCAGTTCCAACCCCCTGCCATTGGCAAGGCTTCTATCCACCAGATAAGGGTACCCAGGGGACCATCCAACTCGGGCCTAAATGCCTCCAGAGACAGGGCATCTACAATATCTCTGCGCAGCCTGTGCAAGAGTCTCACCACCCTAAGGAAAAAATTTCTTCCTAACATCTAACATAAATCTCCCCTCTTTTAGGTTAAAATCATTCTCCCTTGTCCTGTCGCTATTCAGGCTATTCAGGTGAAAAGTCAGTCCCTCCTTCTGACTGTAAGCTTCTTTCAAGTACTGGAAGACTGCAATGTGGTCTCCCTGAAGTCTTCTCTTCTCTAAGCTAAACAATTCCAGCTCCTCAACCTTTCATCATACGAGAGGTGATCCAGCCCTCTGCTCATCCTTACGGCCCTCCTCTGGACTTGCTCCAACTGCTCCACATCCTTCCTGCACTCGGGGGGGGTCTCAGGCTTGGACACAGTGCTCCAGATGGGGTCTCATAAGGGCAGAGTAGAAGAGGATAATCCCTTCCCTCTCCCTGCTGGCCACCCCTCTATTGATGCAGCCCATGATACCTTCTGGGCTGCAAGCTCATGTCAGCTTTTTGTCATCAGGACCCTGAAGTCCTTCTCCACAGAACCAGTCTCAATGAGTTCCTCTCCCAGTCTACATTCATATCTGAGATTGTCTCAACCCAAATGCAGCACCTTGAACTTGGTATTGTTGAACTTAATAAGTTCTCATGGGCCCACTTTTCAAGTGTGTCAAGCTCCCTCTGGACGGCATCTCTCTCTTCTATTGTGGCAACAATAATTTCAAATAAAATAACTTCTGCGCTTTCTTGATTTTGAAGGCAGGGGTTCTGAATAGAATTCTAGCTTCCCTTCCTCTCTCCCAAAGTAATCAAAGAAACTAGAAGTTATATGCCCTCTTTAATAATTAAAAAGCTGCTTGTAGTGAAATAACATCAAGAAATTAGGATTCTTCTTCTCAACATCATCTTCTGGAGCCACAAAACACAGTAAGAGTCTCAGTTTTTAGTTCTCATGGCTGAAGAGAATACTTCGAATGAAAGGCAAGTTCAAAAGAAACAGATC